GTCGGCTGGCGGCTCGAAGAAGAAGGCCCTGTGAAGGATGCAGCTCTTCTCTTGGTTGTCCCTGGTCTCAATCACATTGCCCTGCGCGTCCGTCGTTTTGAGGGCTGGGATTCGGGTCTTTCCCCCGTCGGTTGCTGGTGCTCTGATGTACCGGTGAGCGTTCCACATCGTCGTGTTGTTGAGGTCCTCGATCCAGTCTTCCCAGTGCTGCTGTTTTGTTTTCTTGAGAAGATTGGTGTAGTCATTCCTGGCTCGTCTGTGTTCTTCATGCGCTGGGTGGTCTGGGAAGCTTCTCTGCTCGCGGGCTCGTCTCGCGGCTTTTCTGGCTTTGTCCCTTGCCTTCTTTAGCTCTTTGGTCCACCATCGTCTCGAGTAGGGTGTCGGTCGCTTCCTGGGGACCACTAAGTCTGCGGTTTTGAGGACTGCTGCTTCTATGAGTTCCAGGGCCTCATCGATTTCGTCTGCTGTTTGTAACTCTCTGGGTTCAGGGATGGCAGCGAGTTGGGCTGTCAGCTCTTCTCCGAAGTCGTCCCAGTCCGTCTCTCTCCAGTTTCTGGCAGGCCTCTCGACCGTGTCGGTGATGGGGAACTCTATTGTTGTGACGATTGGAAAGTGGTCCGTCGTTTCCGGCTTGTGTTCTTCGAATACCTGACATTCGGCTAGGTATGTGTTGAGTTCCTGTGAGATGAATACATTGTCAGGTCGTGTCAGATTTCCATGTGAGTTTATTATAGTCGTTACGCCTTTCGGCAGGGCTAGTTCCATGTTGTAGTCTGCGATTAGTTGTAGTAGCGGCTCAGTCTTCTCCGTCTCCTGTCTTGTGAATAGTCGTTCGTTTTCATCGGGTTCCCACAGCGGGTGGTGTCGGTTGAAGTCTCCTAGCCACACGTCTCCGATGAAGTTGTCCGCGTCGCCTCGTTCTTCTATCCTTCGTTCTCTGTCCAGGAGGTGGTGTCGTAATACCGTGAGTGCGTCAGAGTGTGTGCAGTCAATGTAGACGTTGTATACTTCAATGGCCCGGTCCTCGTGAGTGATCCGAATTGCTGTGATGTCTGTCGAATCTATGTAAATCTTCTCCCAAGTGTTAGTAAAAATTTTTTGGTTTATCAACATTACCGATCTCGATCTGCCCTGTCCGTTCGTAAGACGATGTTTGTGGGGGTATACCACCCGCCATCCTGCGGTGGCCGCCGTGAGCCCGCTTTCGTACAAGTACGGTTCCTGTATGCAAATGAGGTCAGTGTCCGGTGGTATGTCGTGTAGGGTCTCGAGCTGGGCTTTTAGGGATTTCCTCGAATTTTGCTGCCATATCTTCATAAAAGGTCGTGTCCTCGTGTTGTTCATCTAAGTCCGTTGGTGGTTGCTGATGCTGTCGGTCGATGCGTCTCGTGGTTGCCTTCGCGGCTACGTTGCGTTGCTATCCAATCGGTTGGTAAAGTGCGCTGTGTGCCTCCTAAGGCTGGGCCTTCTCGTGGGGAGTCCCTGTTGTTAGTGTTTCTCACTCTGCTTACGCTGTGCCGTCTGGCGAAAACTCGTCCCCTGGAGGGGGCTCTGGAGGGGGTTCTAGAGGGTGTCCTGCTGGGTGTTGGGGCTGGCCTGCGCCTCGGGTCTTCTGTCTGTCTGACTTGTGAGCTGGCGCCCTGCTGAGAGGCTCGGGACCGGGGTTCTGTTGTAGTATTGGTCGTGGTGTATTCTTCTTGTGGGGCCCAGTAGGAGTCTTCTCTTGGTCTACGTTGTCGCCCGCCGGGTTGTTGATCCTCCTTCTCCTGTCGTCGGCGTTGTCGGTTAAATTCGTATCTCTGGGTGTCGCGGTTTCCGTTCTGTCTCTCCTGCATCGTGTTGTTTTCGAACTCCTCGTCTTTCATCTTCCAGGTCCATTCAACGTCGCGGTCCGGGTAGTAGATATAGTGATTCTCGGGGATTTTGTCTCGTAGCTTCTCACGTTGCTCCAAATAGATGGGGCATTTCCTGCTCCAGGCGGCGTGTCGTACGTCTTCACGTCGTGCTCTTCTGCAGCTTGCACAGGAATGTTCAGTTTGGCTCTTGTCGCACTGTCCGTGGGGTGTCGTCTTGAGCAGCAATTTGCGCACACCTCGTCCTCAGGGCATTCTGCGGCTTTGTGGTTCACGTTGATCACCTGGCACTTGTAGCAGCGCCTGGGCTCCTCCTCGAGCTTCCTTGCCTTGTACCTGCTGCCTTCAATGATTAGTCCGTCTTTAATGATGGTATTCGCTACTTCTCTATCTCTTGTTGTAAGGATGGCGTGTGCAAATGTCTGGGTTGGGTTCCAGCTCTTCGATGGATCTCGCATCCATCTGATCTGTTCTATCTTGTTCTTTCGGATCTCGTTGTACTCCTCTATCTTTCTGACTCGGTCGCTGAGAATGTTCTTGAGGCTGGTTGAGATGAATTCGATGATGAGCGAGTACTGTCTATCCTTAATGGTTGCGGGCCCGAAGTGTGTTTCAAAAGCTCTCCTCGCATCCTCCCTGCTGAGCCACTCTACTCCTTCCTCGTTCGACATCTCCAAAATCACTCCTCCATTCTTCAAAACTCTGGCGACGATGAACCTTGAGTCGCTGGGTTTGTGGTCTGATGTCGGCTCGGGCTCGTCCCACCTAGAGTCGCTGTGACTGAAATCCGTGTCTGGTAAGGCCTCCCATGCGATGTTGGCTTTCTCCACAATTTCCATCGGGGTTAAATTGGCGACCGCGCTTGCTACTCCTGGGACCGTGTCCATGAGGATCTGCCGATTCCTTTTGCTTTCCCTCGAGAGCACTTCCGCGCGGATGTTGTCGCCTTTGTTGTTTCCATTTACTTTCGTCCTCAGGACGTCGGCGTACGTTGGTTGTCTTAGTGCATTGGCCTCCTGCCGTACCGTCTCCTCTAGTTCTTCCGTTGCCGGTGTGTAGTATTGAGATTTGTGTGCTGTCAACTCGTCGGCCACTGCCTGTTTGCCGTCCTCCAAAGTTTTACCGATGTCCCTCTTCAGGTTGTCTGCCAGGTCGTCGAAGAGGTTCTGCGTGTGTGTGGTCACCACTTCCATCGCTTCTTCCGCCGGTAGGTTGTCGAGGCTGATCGCAACAGCCCTCATCGTATCGATCCAATCGTTGTGCGTCAGTAGTCTTTTATCTATGGTGGCCCAGAGTAGAGCAGTTGACAGTGAAGCAGTAGTGATTCGTTCACCTTCTGGCACTAGCTCTTTCACAACTAAAAACCTCTTAGCTGCCTCTTTGTCCTTGATCCTCGATCGCGAGTCCTTTAGGATGTCGTTTTTCGTCGATTCGGAGACGGTGGTGCTAGGTCCAGCACTTCCCCTCGTGACTCGGGAGTTCTGCCTTTGGCTCATTTCTTTCGCGGGGTGTGTAAGTTGCAGTGCGCAAGTAGTTACTTAGAAGAGAAGCGGAGGACTAGTCGAGGGTTTGCCTTTCTACTCTACTTCAATACCGTACTGTACCGTCCGACCTCTGTTCTCCACTGTTTGACCCGTGGGAAAGAGCGGCGGTGGTGGTGGTAGCGGATCAAGAGAGTCTCTCAAGTCTTCTTCTCCTGTCTTTCCGTTTACTCTTTTTTTTACCTGTCTGTTTTGTTTTACATATAAGCATCTCTCAAAGCTGGACATTGCTCAAGTAATTTGAAAATGTGTCATTCAGCGGTCCTTTTTGTTCTCTGTATATGCTTTGACCTCCATTACTAGAGAGGTTTTGTTGCATATCCATATACCGGATCACGGTCATAGGCACCGCCACTGTCCACAGGCTAGTATTTAACTTGCTATTGGTGGCATTGAGTGGCAACTCATTGTTCTTCCCGCCAGCTTGCCATCTTGACCTCCTAGGACAATGGTTATTCATCTTTAGCACATCCACACCCCCAACACTCGTCAATCATCAGTACCACAAGCGCAAGGTAAGCGACTTCAAAAATCAAGTTGTGTCCATGTTCATGAATGTAAATCACGGCAGCATGGCAAGATCTAAACTAACGACAACGCTAACCTGCTGCAGATTTTGGGCCAACTCGCGCAAAAACACAATATCCCATGGCTGAAGCAGGTGGAAGCGCAGATATTCGAAACCAAGAAGAAAATGGGTAATTTGCTCGAACAGCATCCGAGGTCACGCGAACCGTGTTCACGACCGCACCATCTACCGAGTGCCAGATAAAATCGCCTCCAGATGCCTTATTGCGCCTTCTCGGCACAACATCCACCGCCAACCAGCTAGGACAGGATTTCCTCCCTGCTCTCCAATATTTTGCCTACAGTCGTACACGTTCTTGTACAGTGTTTGCACGATCACTCGTTGCCCAAATTTTTGGCAATCTTTCTGACCTTGAGGACACGCGCACGCGGCCTCTAGAGAAGGTTGTGCTGTCATTTGGTACAGTCGATGAATCGGTCCCTCGGTCATACATGTCCAAGGAGTTCCTTTCTCGCGTTTCATTCTTTTGAATAACAGACTAAATCTTTCAATCCACCAACCTCAACCACTCATCGAAATCGCATGTGAATGGCTGGACTAGATCTATCGATTCACTTTGAAATCAGGATGGAAATTTGGATTCCATTCATCTATCTGTAGACCATAATATGAAAGTAGTGACAATGTAGTCATTCGTTGATGAGTAGGGGAGGGGGTATTGAGGTGGTAAGTTCTCTTTTCATCAGTCTTCCGTCAAAAAGGAAATAAATAATATATTTGTGATCTATCCATTTAGATGTAAATTAGAAAGTAGAAAGTGTAGGCCCCCGTCGAGGGACTCGATAGGTGAGGCCTTCGTTCAATTACATGTCACGCTAAGCTATCCGATTTGTCAAATTGTTTTTTCCACAACGAGTTTTCCTTCTTCTTTCACTTCATGTCTTTCCCCTTGTTGTCTGCCTCTGCATTCTTCCTCTGGTCTCTTCTTTTGCCCAACTTTAACTTCCATCTCGTCGCAGGGAAAGTAAAGCTGCTGGAATGGCATTCCTCTCTGTCGACTCCTCGACTCCTTTGTGAGGTTCAATGGTCTAGTGGTTATGATTTCTGTCTTACAAGAGATTCACAGAAGGTCTCCAGTTCGATCCTGGATTGAACCATCCTTTTGCGCATTGATGCTGCTGGTTTGGCATGCGCGGCAACCTTTTTGGTCCCAGATAGACCGTTTGGACTTCACCAGTCACTGGCACTCTGTTTACCTTTGTCGAGGAGTTTATGAATTAGGATATCCTTTCTCATGATCACAGCCCCGGAGCTTGCATCTATCATTAGATGTCCGCCTTGCCAGTTCGCTGTCACCAAAGTTGAATGGACGATGATGTCAGACTCAAAGGTCATTTGTCCGATTATCACTCCAATGGCACTCCAGTACTTCACATCCGGAAGACTATAAAAACTCTTCCTTTACTTGCATACTAAACTCAACGTCACTCAAATCCATCTTTGGAACATACAGCAACAATGCCTGTTAAATTTGAACCATCTCCACCACTCACTTCACACCCCAGTACCAGTGGGAGCCGGACACCGAGAAGGCAAAGTCCTACCCCACCCCGTGGGAGGTTATTCCATCGCAGGGAAATTTCGAAAAGCCACCCTCATTCACGGTCTGCGACTGACGTTGATATTAACGGTCATCACAGTCAAGATATTGAAGGTCGGTACAATGAATATTAGCGATTTAGAATTCTAGCGTTTATGCCATCTAAATTCCTACCCCACACTAGGCTCACCCCAAAGCCCGAATAAGGTGTGGAAATCCAAACGTCGCTACTCGCTCGTATCTTCTACGATGAATCTGCACTTCACCACCTCTTTCATAGCCGACGCCATTGACCCATTGACCTCGTTATCTTAACACTCTTCTTCGTTGTCATCTACATTATAATCAAATATCAAACCTGCCCTCCTCCCAAAATTGCAGGTCGACCACCATGATGTACATCAAGTTAATCCCTCCCGTTTACCTGCAAATATAGTGTCCAAAATTGTACGCGCTTTTACCTTGGGTATGGACTCTGATTGAGGAATCCATTACAAATTCTTATCCCCCTCCAAGCTCAGGTATAGCTTGTCTCCAGCTTAACCCACATGGGGCCTGCTTTTAATACTCAGTATACTACATAGTGCTATATTGAGATTGTTAAACTGCAGGATTGGTACTGGCTCTTGACATAGGATGAACCAGTAAAGAAGGTGTACTGCTACTTATGCTCTCGATGGTTAGGCACTTTCTAATTGTAAATTCATTGTATGCCTAGATAATTTATGTTCAATGAATTGTACTGATATAGTGAGGTGTTCGGATTACCCACCATCAACATCTGGTGCTTAGGAAAGACGTCCCTGGAATATTTTTAGCTCCCGTCGTCGCGTCGGACGCGTTTACGTCACGTGCTCTGTGGAAGTGATGCAAGCTTGGCGCTGGCGCTGATTGAATTATTCCCTGAAACGCCTACTTCGTTCACCATAATCGTACGCGCCACCCTGTCATCCTTACCCCATGAACTATCTATTTCTAATCGAATAAATTTCTCTATATGCATTCGTGGGCGTCATATCGTCGTCAAGAAAATGCGGCAGAGATACCATACAAATAACACACCTCCGCGATGCCGCCCCACTTTCTGAGACTATTAAACCCATCTTTGTGGTTCGTGTTGGAATCTCAGACATTACCCTTCCCTCATGCAGCCACCATGAACGCTAATTCTAATCTTGCCAAGCCTTCCGCGACTGTGACCAAGCAGCCCTCGGCTGGCACAGCGAAAAGTGAGTTGATGCTGAAGCGGTCTGTTGAGCTGGAATACAAAGCCTTTTTTCCCTCTTATTCCGCAGGTTTCATTCATGGTGTGTCCATGCCTGCAAATGCAAATCCTGAACACCAAGAAGGCCCATCTCGTGTGCGCGGAGGAGGTGCTGGAAGGGTGAGTCATAACTTAATGAACGCTTCGCCTCGCGAATCGCGATCATTAGCTTATCGAGCATTGCACCTTAGGATTGTTGCATGGGGATTTTAGGAGCCTTTATCTGTTCTGGTACGTTCCTTCGGAGGCTCTTTCGTGCTGGTTTTAGCTACTATTTTTCTCTTAATAGAATGCTGCGAGGTTTGCCTGATCGTTGTGTTTTGGTGGAATCTGACTGACAAATTTTTGACAGGGAATCTGCGACTGCGTTGCCGACATTATTTGTGAGTCGAAATTTATATCCGAAAAATTTGCGGCACCGACAAAATTATCGTCATTCAGGCTGTCCGTGCGAGATGATGGGTCTTTAAAAAGTTTCACCCGAGACCAACGACTTCTTGTTACGATTTTCAAGTATTGCTTAACACTCTAAGCTATGTGGCACTACGACTTGCATTTCTATCAGTGTCAATGATGGCACTGTGCTTGAATGGACTCATGCACTTAGAACGTTCAATTAATTGATCAATTATTTATCGTCATTCACAATCATGAGATGTGCCAGCTATTTTTGGCGTTCCTGCGAGCTCTTTGTTAATCATCTTTCCTCGTTGACGCCTGGTTGACGCGTCCACGACTCGAATGGCTGACTCGTCGATCCGTTCTTTCCGCCCATAACGCCTTATTTAAGATGGACTAACTTGAAAGTCGCTGAATATCGGTTCCCAATACCCTTCTCCAATACCCATGCCTCGTAGTGTAGTGTCTGCGTGGATGCCGCAGCATCCGCTGCTCGATGTTACGGCTTTTCATTCCGAACAAGATGGATCATGGTTTGCCCTGTACGTTTCCATATTCGATTGTAATTGATAGGACCACTGAAGAGCACTCCTTGATAGCTTGAACGACACTTTGTCTATTCCATTTCTCGTTTCTGTGCTCTTTATATGCTTTCAAGTTCTTAACGGCCTGGCGGTCTTTGTGGCATATGTTACACGTCGCCCTTCGATCACTCCTCAAGAAGCAGAGCTGCTGGAATCGAACTCCCAGACAGAACACCCAGCCACTCTATGGCAATGGGCTCGGAATCAAGTTGATTACCTGGGTGGAAAGACCATCACGTCATACCTTGCGGCGCGTTTTGTTGGCTGCCTAGTTCTCCTTGTTCTTTTCCCCAGATCGGTTCATGAGTGTCGTCAGTCGACGTCTTATGTTGATTCGTCTCTGCCACGCCTCCTTCCGCAATGCCCTGAGTGTTCATGACCTTTGTCTTTGTGGGTGCCAAGATCGCTTGTCGCTTTCCAGCACTCGCAGCTGACGACTCTGATGTAGTTTTACGCCTCGGTTTTAGCATTCATAAGCTTGACGGTGAAGAAATGGAGCGTGCTGGCAACAAGGTACAACGTCATCCTTTTGCTTACTACATTTTCGGTCTATCTCCAGAGGGACATTTGGCCTTTGGCTATCGTCAATGGACGCCCTCAAGATGAACAGGTGGCGGACTACTATGGGTCAAGATTATGACGCTTTTTGCAACCTCGACACTCATTCCCTTGTTTATACCTCGTCGATACATACCAGTCGATCCGAAGGTAATATTCCTTCCTTTTATTCTCCTTTCCTGCTCTTATTTCTGAAACGTACCTTTTGGCAGAATCCTATGCCAGTGCCCAACGACGAACAGACATGTTCCTTATTCTCTCTCTTCTTGTATACCTTCTTAGACCCCGTCATCATGCAAGGTTATCGAGTACCGCATTTGAGCTACGAGCAGTTGCCGCCCCTCTCTGATTCTGATTACGCTTCATACTTGACTGGAAAGGCGTTTCCGGTATGGTTTCAGATTTTTGTCCCTGAGACTACTTGCCGACGAAGCTTGTCTAGCATCTGGATCCGTTCAGGGGCGGAAAGAAACCGCACCTGTTCTTCGGACTGATGCGAGTGTTCCGTGAGTCCTAAAATTTCTTCCTTGTCGACGCATTGACTGACCTTCGCAGGCAAGGAATATACAATACTGGCTTTAACACTCGTTGGTCAAGGCCTCTTTCAATTCCTCGCTCCAATTGGCATCAATCGCATTCTCAAGTCCGTCTCTTCTCTGAATGTGTTCTCCGGCGGTCTCCCTCACCTTCAGGAACAGTTATTTAGAAACCGGAGGCGAAAATGCTGACATACGTCCTTGGTTCTGGATCCTTTGTATCTTTGCTGGCCCAGCAATTCGTGCTATTTTTTTTTCAGGGGTATATTTTCATTGGCACCAGGACTCTCGTCCGAACTGAGGGTCTACTGACCCAGTTGATATTTGAACATAGTCTGCGAATCCGTCTCAGAAGTGAGAGCTCCTCAGAGACATCCAAAGGCCAAGCGAGTGAAAGTTATACTTCCACTGTTGTCGGAACTCCAGAGACGGCGTCTATCAGTTCAACGCAGGATGGTGGAGCTAGCTCATCTCCAAAGACAGAAAGTCTAAAGTCGCCGGGTCATCATCGTCTTCACCGTCAATTTCGCAGGACATGGCGAAGGAGGTACCAAATGAAGGCAAAAACCTAATTGGCAAGATTAATAACCTCGTAACGACTGATCTGACGAATATCGTCGAAGCGAGAGATTTCCTCGTCTTATGTGAGTGACAGTTGTCGTTCGTAACCTCTGCCCTGACCAGCTTTCTAGTTTTGTTTATCCTCTTCAAGTCGTCCTATCTGTTTTCTTCCTTTACAGGCTGCTCGGATGGAGGTTTGTCTCTTGTCTAAACCCGCCGATGACAGACGTTGAAGGTTTATCAAAAACCCAGTACATTTTTAGGCCTTGGGGCTATGGTTGTTCTCTTCCCTATTCCGGGGTACATTGCTAAACGCATGCAAGATCTGCAAAAGCTAAAGATGAACAAGGTCATTGGGTGGCAATTCCATTTGGAATGTGACTGTACTCACTTTTCCACAGAGTGATGCCAGGATTCAAGACGTTACGGAAGGTACCTGTCGTGCTGTGTTGTGATTTCGCATTCAGTTTTGAGCCATTTGTCCAGCTGTGAATATTTTGAGGATGATTAAACTCTTCGGGTGGGAGGAAAAGATAGCGAAGCGAATCGAGGGCCGAAGAGAAGACGAGCTCAATGTGTTATGGAGGTTCAAGGTAACTTGCATAGTTCTGGGTATCGGTTACCTCTGAAGTCCCTCTATTTAGCTTTTAAGTGC